CTCACCTTTTTAGGTGTTGGACTGCATTCAAGAGCTATCGTCGTAATAGGCAGCAAAATGCTATAAAGAGTTTCGTGCTAAGTAATTACTTTTAGATTTAATCTTAATGGCGAAACCTAAAGGCATAAAGGTCAGTTACAGTATCTAGATAAAATTTAGATGTACCTAATTGAAAGACAGAATTACTATATCCTCGTAATTATTTTTAAGTCACATGTCGGCCAACGAGTATCGTCCAAAGACACTCCTAATACCAAAGGAGTTTCAAGAAGTGCATTGCTGGCTTCTTGAGGGTTATTAGGGATTTAAGGATAAGATTTGAGGTATGAGGATACAGGAACCTCACACACACGACGAAACACAACACAAATAACTGTTATTGGTATGTGTAATGATATTTAGTTAACTCTCCTTCTAAGTTTATAGTGTTTTTTAAATTATTTATTGTGATAGGTCGGCAAATGAGCTGACTGATTACCTGATGGTAAGCAACCGTAACCGCTTTTGGAAACCGGCTACACCAGAGGAGTTACAACCCCTACGTCTCCGTAAGATGTGAGGGGAGGGAAAGGATCAGGTCTCCTCTCTAACCTCTCTCACACGACGAAACACAAAGCTGTGGTTGTTTTACGCCGATTTTATGTAAGGCCGTGGTATCACTCCGGTCAAGCCGACCCATTCAGGAACAGAACACCATTGTCTAACAACAGACCATCCGCTTTGAAACAAGGTCAAAAATTTGACAATAGCTAATAAAATATCCATAAAAAAACTTTTAAAGAATGTGTTTGGATAAACAAAACTCTTTTGAGATGGTGACGGAAAAATTAGGGCCTCTTACCACATACTTGCAAACAAGCAAAGTATTATCTTATCTTTCATAGGTACCTTCATTTTATGGGCGCCTGGTAACCTTGGCCCTTTTATTTATAAGCGCAATGATGTCATTGACAGAGAAAAGAGGTTTTATTAAAATATGTTTGCAATGCGACAACATAGCATCGTCATCATCGTCTATTTTTGATAGTTCTAGCTTGATAGTCACTTCTAATGAAATAGTAGTTACGAGATCCAAGTCATTGTTAACGGGATCATGATTGTTCATTTTCTCAAAAATTTGTCATCTTCCTGGTGGTTTTTAGAATATTGATACATGGATTGTAGTGTTATAGATTTTCATAAAAACATAAGTGTGGGAGAGCCATACTTCGGCACGAATGGGTCGGCTCGACCGGAGTGATACCTCGGCCTCACAGAAAACCGGCGTGAAATAACCACAGCGTTGTCGCGTGAGTGAGGTTACCGGAGGCCCAATCCTTCCCTCCCCCAATCCCTAAATCTCCAAATCCCTAATCCCTAAAAGATCGGCAACGCACTCGTAATTCCTCCGTTGCGAGTGTCCATGGGCGGCGCTGATTGCTTACCACCAGGTAATCCGACTGCTCTGTTTGCCGACCTATTACATAAAAAAAAAACTTTAAAGTCATAATGTTTTGGGAAGAAGTGAGTTTATTTCATCAAACCCCAAGCGAACGCGTACATTGCTTCAATTTTTAGCAGAAGAAGTAAGTACTCCTTCGTCAATAAAGGTTTGAGGGTCTTATCACTTCTGTAATACTGTAGCTACATATTTTTTTTTATTTGTTACGGCGGCAAATATGCAAGCGGCATACCTGATGGTAAGCAATCTGTGCTGCCCGCAGAAACAAGTACACCAGAGTAACAAATGCGTTGCCGTCCTTTTCAGGACAGAGTTTTGGGGACTTTAGGGATTGAGGAGGGAAAAGTTTTGGCTTCTCATTCACACGACGAAGCTCAACGCTGTGATTGTTTCACGCCTGTTTTCTGTGCGGCCGTGGTATAAGTCCGACCAAGTCGGCGCTTTCCATACTAAATTCCAACTGTGCTGTGCGAGACAGAAATGCCAGGGCTAGATACAAATATCTAGACCCCGAAAAACGCTAATCTTATTAATATGCAAGTCAGTAGTTATGTCTAGGAAATATCAATCAGATTTTAGACTTGCGACTTTGATTAGTAATAAAATATTGTACAACTGCAAGTGACATTGTCGGGTATAACTGTCAAGATGTCGACTTGTCGGCACAAGATGTGACCCTGAAGCTGTTTTGATTGATATTCTGACGTCGTTGCTCTTAAAGCAATGATATTGAAGCGATAGAAGAGATTTATAGCTGCTAATTTTGAATGTTAGGGGAAATTTTTTGGGCGGAGTTTATAACGTTTGGCGAAAATCGTGGAAATTATTGATGTCATTTCACCGGATGATTTTTATATCAGTAACCCCCGGTTTCCGAAAGGCCGATCAATGTTAAAATCAATTTAATCTCTTGTCAAGTCATGTGATTGCTTGACTGAATTATCAACAACCAATCAGATGACTTGACAAGAGATTTAACAGATTAGTCAATTTTAGCGTTGACAAGCCTTTCAGAAACCGGGTGTAAGAGTCTGACACTCCCTCTTGCCATTTGGAGTCAAATGCCACAACCGAGGCAAAAGGAATCATTGGATGATTGTCCCTATTAAAAAAGACTGCAAGTTTATATTTTTTTTGCCTAAGTTCCTAAGAAAATGGTCACGACCATTGAAGTAATTTTAGATGAGAATAGTGTGTGCTGATTCATTTATTGAAAACAACAGATCTATAATCTACCTTCTCAAACATCGAAGCTATGACAAAAGACATGTCGCTTTCAATGGACGCCTACCTTCAAACCCCGTTAGGCCATTCGCAATGCAACGTAACAAAATTGATTGGACAATAAAAGTACACGACGTCTGAATATTAAATACACAAGTACTTATAGCACTAACAATATAACTAGGTTCCCTTGACAGTGTTTGACGAAAGACTTCCTAATTCTAGACATCATCATGAAAGGAATTCTTGACAGCCGAAATTAAAAACCGATCTTAGTCCAAAATATTTGGAGATTTTTGAGGAAGATTAAGAGGAAGTATCAGACTCTTGCTGAATCAATATCATTTCGTTCCGTCTTGCTTTGAACCGAGGCAGGGTTAGAAAAATATTGCGAAAAACCACCCGCTACCACGGTAAAAAATCTGTTGATTAAGATGGATTTTTGATATAAGCTGTACAGAGGTTTTGACTGCAAGGTTGGCGCGGTGGCTGGGCAACTGGCTGCTGCGCAACGTGTCGCAGGTTCGATTCCCGCACCACAACAACTCTGCGTGATCCACAGATTGTTGTTCCGGGTCTGGGTGTGATGTGCATGTGAAATTGTATGTTTGTTAACGCATCCATGACACAGGAAAAAATCATAATGTGGGGCAACGTTAAAAAAAAAGAAAAGAAAAGAAAGATCGATCCAGGGATTTCGAATTTAGTGGTAAGTTTTATTAAAGTCATCGACTCTGAACCCATGACCAGTCAATGAAGAAATTTTATACATCAACTAATAGAGCCTAACAAATGAATACACAGCTTCAGCTAGGACATCTCAATTAGGAGACATCGTTAGTATAAGTCTTAATTGTTAAAAGTGGTCGCCGAGATTGCGATTAGATTATTCGCGTCTGAGTGAGATAAATTGCATTTAATTTGTAGATGTACTACGTATATATGTATGTACATCGGCCAAGATCAATGCGAATTGCTTTTGAAAAAATACTTGAAAGGTGGTGGTTTCTTTTTTTGTGAGGGGAAAATCATCAAATGACTTCGCCCGCTGACGACATGACGACACTCGGGCGTTTCCTCCCGCTGGATCCGAAACAGGAACCTACCGAAGCTGCCGTGCAAGATAAGGACCTGTGTCAGACGGAAGGTGAGGACGCCGTGGCGTCTCTCAAGCCTCAAAGAGGGGTCTTACCGCTGCTATAATAGCGTGCGCGGAGAGGTGGTGGTGGAACGAAGTTCTTTCGATTGTATGGCGCCTCCTCATATTCATACCCCTAAATTCCAATTTTCGTCAGACGCTTATTGACTAAACTTTGCAGGGCATGTTTCTTCGTTCTACGACCACCTATCAACTATTTTTTCACAAGCAATTCGCATTGATCTTGGCCTATGTATACATAGTACATCTACAAATTAAATGCAATGCAATTCGGATTTTTTTATTTAGTCATTTTCAGGAATTTGCCCACTGTCACGTCTGGTGGTAAGCGGTGATGCGAGCTACAATGTAGACTGACAAATATACTGTTTTGATTGTTTATTTTCGGAGGTTTGTAGAGCATTGATTGAAGTGATTAAATAAACAAAATGAATTAATGAACTTAACTAGTTAAATCTTCACTTTAATTCGTTTAATACATTAATTTGTACGCTGCTTTTTCATCTGGTATCGTGGCCGAAGCCGTTTGCAGAAACTAGTTCAAATAAATGACAATACCATATTTTAATACGGCATTATTAGAATAGTATTTCTTTTATGTACTTTTTGCGCTGATCAAGATACGGTCGAGTTGTCTTCTGTTGTTAACCAACATAAGCTTTTGTTTTCTCCATTTCGAGAAAACAAAAGCTTATGAACGACAAATTAAGTTGTGTTAATAATAATGAGGACTTATTTTGAAATGAACAATGGACAGTAAAAACCTAATTGTAAATTGTAGTCATAACTACTTACATTAGTGAGACAAATAAGGTAAAATTATAGATAGTACACCAAATCCTAATTAGATTTTAGTTAACCGCTTATGGTTTTAAAATACTAATGTTTTGAAATGTACAAACTACATTAGCGCGCCATCTATGGGTCACTGTGCAACACTAAACGAAGAAATATAAACGTGATATCAAACGCTAACGATAGATGTCACTAGTTGTGACAAATACGTAAAAGTTTATGGGGGTAAAAAAATGATTAAGAGCGCTTTTTTGTAGATAAAACTGATAAAAATGTATGTAAATAAATTTTGAATTATACAGCAAAGATGTTTAATCCACAAAAAAGAAAAATCCTTATGAAGTTTAGATATTAAGTAAAATGTAAAAATCAACTTACCTTTCATTGGAAGCCGAATACGAGTATAAGTATAGGCACTGCGATAACGCAGAATATGTAAATCGAAGTTCGCGGTTCACACTCCGACAATATGAGGAACTGCTCGTTCCAGAGCGAGTCGTTGTTCCTCAAGGGGACTTCCAGCACCACCTGAAGAAATTAAACGATAAAAGCTTATTCTAGTTTCCAAAAAACATTATTACTTTATATCTATTATAAGCAAGTGTGGGAGAGCTATGCTTAGACACGAATAGGTCGGCTCGACCAGAGTGATATTACGGCCTCACAGAAAACCGGAGTGAAACAACCACGGCGTTGTATTTCGCCGTGTGAGTGAGGTTATCAGAGGCCCAATCCTTCAAAGGCTCCTCTTGCCAAAATTATTGTGATCGTGATTCGTGTTCTTTTTATAGGATAAGTCGGCAAACGAGCAAACAGATTACCTGATGGTAAGCAATCAGCGCCGCCCATGTACAACCGATCTTTTGGGAATTATGGATTTGGTGATTTTGAGATTGGTGAGGGATTGGAGCAGGGGAAGAATTGGGCCTAATGAAACCTCATTCACACGGCGAAACCTTGGTGTGGCTGGTTCACGCCAATTTTCTGTGAGGCTGTGGTATCACTCTCTGATGGCTCTTTCACACTTAAGAGCTTGCCAACAGGAAGTTTCTGTCCGTTAAAATAATCTGTTCTTTCATTCATACCTTCTGCGTAGAAAATATATCCAGCGGCAGATCACATCGTTGCGTGGTATTCTTGCACTCGCGCAGTGCAGTGCGCGCCACGTCGTACCGAGTCTTCTGCAGCTCGAACCGCGCTCGGATGTAGTTCCTCTGCACTTCGTTCTCTGAATTGAACACGAAGAAGTAGTAGCCGTTTGCTGGGACCCTGGAATTTAAGACACGATAGCATTAGTTCGAAACCTGGCAAGTACCAGTAGTGTGACTTAATATGTGCTTTCTATGTGTATTTAGACAACAATGATCAACGGTGAAGTAAAAAATTGTGTGAAAACTTGGATTTATAATTCCTAATTATAAGTAAATCCGCTTCGAACAAGCGTGGTGATTCATGCGCAAACCTTTTTCGTATCAGAAGAGGTCTATGCTGAGCAGTGGGCAGTTATAGCTGATAATGATGAACATTATGTCATCTGTTTAAGCCTCGAAGAGATGTTAGAAGTGCTTTACAATGTAACACTAGCTGTGCCCAAACGATTTATAATTTGTCTCCGCAGAAAGTGAGCCTTTTACGACACAATAGGTATAAATATGAATACCTAGCTATTATTGAGAATTTTTCAAAAGACACAAACTACCCAACACCTTCGACGATTTTGGGTTGTTAGAAGTTAGTCTTATTAGCGAGGCAGTGGCATTCTACTGACAAATATCCCCATTGTGACACTGGTATAGTATGAACTACAGTACTTCCCAAGTCCAAGCCCAAGTCTTAAGCCTATTTAATTTTTTCCTTTTCCCAACACTCACCTATACGTAAGAGCGTTAGCTTTAGCAGCGGCAAACGCTTCAGTCTCGGAGGCGTTTCTGAAGCAATGGCGATGTGGAGTTAGAGGGAGGTTTAGGATCAGACCCTCACACTCTAGTAGAGCTTCCTCACTGCTGGAGAAGGAGGACCAGAACTCCGAATTACTCATGTCAAGAGGAGTTGTCTCGTTCACCAACATGTGGTGGTCGGCGTAACCGTCTGCATCCTGGAATTAGTGTGGGGAAATGGTTAGTGGCACTGAGCTATTATTGGTAAGTCATTCTTCCTTATGTGGAGATTAGGAATGTTTCCATTCTGAACGTTCTTTGAATAACAATATCCATGGCTCGTAATTCCCGTAAAGTTTTACCCGGTGCTCTGATTCTGGTGGTAGCAGCGTGAACCTATACCTCTTTAAAAAATGGACTGGTAAAACTAACAAACTCTTTAGCCTTAAAATATTACAGAACAGAAGTGCTTATAGTTTTCCAATAGCAAATGTTTTCCTCTGCAAGACCTTCGCAAAAATCAGCACGTTTCAAACGTCCATACCATACGGTTATCAACCAGGTGTACGTGTCTAGAATCACGAGGAAGGGATGAATGAGTGATGCACAAAACCGAGAAGTTTGGCAGAAATAGGGGTCCCGTACTGAGCAGTTTCTGAAGTTGGTCTGAACTATGATGATGAACAGAAGGAAAGGCGGGAGGATCTGCACACTCAACCTCCGAAGATATTTACTATTAAAAAAACATAACACGTACCATTTCCCCTGCATGATTTCTCTCTTCATCATTTTCGTTGAGTTCCTTTACGAGGTCTATATGGCCCAACATGGATTCCCGCTTCTTACGGGCCTGTTCTGCAGCATCACGGCGTTTTTCTGGAAATAGTAATAAATAAATTTTTATTTGTTTAATTTCTTAGTGACTGACAAATTGTATTGTTGTTCTCGGTCAGAAATATAGACCAAAGCAAAATATAATTAGTTGGAAACGTCAAATTATCCACATCAAATTTTTCAAAAAAACTATAAACAAATTCATTGGACAAGCTATAACAAAGAATAAACGAACAATTTCACGACAATTAGTATAACTGCTTTGTGACTAAACATTTGGCTCGAGACGAAGGCGGTTAATAATTGTTGAGAAACTATTGTTTTACGAGATTTGGCGAAAAGCCAATCGGAAGAAAATACGAACTATCATAAACCAACAGAGAGAATGCTTAGGTATTGGACAAGCCATTTTGGCATGTTGGCATTCTACCTTCGTCTTTGTACCATATTATATTGATTTGCAGATATTTTGTACCGTCAAACTTATTACATGAAGGTATTCTTTTTGGTCGCCTTCTGCGGCGGCTGGGGATAGTGTGAGGTGGAAGATAGCTCCCTCATGCGATCCGCCTCCTTCTTTGCGTGCAAAATTGCTTCGAAGAAACAGGAGATGGCGTCCCAGTTCCTCTCACTCCGCTCCATGGCCTTGACTAAGGCCAGGCGCGAGAGGTCGCCGCCGCCGATCACTTCCCTAAGGATACGGCGATGCTTAGCCCAAGCATGGCATACCGCCACGTTATGCTCGACCGTGTCATCTAGGTGGTTCTCACAATGACGACACTCGGGCGTTTCCTCCCGGTGGATCCGAAACAGGAACCTGAAGAAGGTGAGGACGCCGCCCGTGGAGCCACTTCTCATAGAGGGATTTTACTGCTGCTATAACAGCGTGCCCGTAATGACAATGTCAGCAAGCGTTCATTCTTGTCATCCCTAACCACTACACTCTATACACATAATATCTCATACTTTTAATAATCTTAAAACACTTTGCATGCAAACACTTGTCATCCAGCAATCAGCACGTCGATTCTATAAAATTTGTTTGATTTTGAATCGTGTTCGAGTGCGAAGTGAGCGTCGAAATGACGGGTAAATAAAATTTTAGAATGCCACTTTTAACGTCATTTCATACTTTATCTTTCAAAATGATGCTGTCAATTTAGTTCAACTCGCAAGTGTAGCGCTAGTGTACTACTACTCACGGCGGATTCGGATTCGAAGTTTAGAATGAAGTCTTACAGAATCACACCCCAGTTATGGGGAAACAGCAGTTCCGCGGTCCCAAAGCAAGAGAAAGAACGAATTGGTTTTTTTAGTCAGTAAGAATCTGTCACTTGCCACATCTAAGGCATCTAATCACATCTAAGGCTAATTAATTTAATGATTCCTCTTCAAATGACCAAATGCTAACTAAAATTGCCCTGGTAAGCAAAATGCTTACCAGAAATGTGAAGCGAATTGGAATTCTGGTCTGGAGTCACAACGAAATGGAGCGGGCCAAGGAATAAAAGGCTTGTATTTTTATGATCATAATAATATATCTAAAATTTAAGACTATCTACGCATCAAAGGTTCCACATAGACAAACAGATTTTAAGTGAGATTTGATTTTATATGTAATATGTCAAGGCCAACAACTTAATCGTAAAATGCTCTTAATCTAATTACTAAAGTGTCAGCCACAGTACTTCTGTCGTTAATCTAGTCACTTTTTATTTTGATATTGGATATTTTATGATGACTTTTTCTGCGTCGGCCAAAAGAAGGCCAAAAGGACTCGGTTTGATTTTCAATGTCTTTGAATAACCGCAGTATTTTCATAATTCCTACATAATCTATTTACAGTATAAGCATTATAAATAGCTGACAGATAAATCATTTGTTCTGGGACTATAAATAACAGAGCTTTTATCGAAAAAAAAGTAAGATAAAATAATATATTATCTTCAAGTCTGTCATTACGCAACTCGTAAGCAATAAGCAGGAATGTATGAACAAAGCATATGTGTGTCCGATGGTAAGCTAACAAAGGATATTATTTGACACGCATGTCACTGTGAAACGTCCACTAAAGCCTATGTGCAGATGCCAAGAGGTCATCCTATACCAACATTTTTATTGGATTTTTGTTCGTGTTTACATATCTATACTAATTTGTAAGTTTGTATGTAGGGGGTAATCTTTGGAACATCAGTCGGATTGCCAAAATTCTTTCACTGATAGATAGCTACAATGTTCCTGGGTGCTATAGGCTATAAAACATGACACACGCTACGATTAAATGGAGCCGAGCATCGGGTGAAATCGCGTGAGAGTAGCTAGTATGAAATGAATTAGGAATACGAATAAACATATTTGATAGACTGGAGAAGGTTGATCTTGGAGTACTGGCCTGGCCTCTATCTCCTTGCAACTCTAGATGCATTTTGACCTTTTCCTCCCGCCTTAGGTGAGGCAGAAAGGAGTGTCAAACTCTTACTGACTAAAAACCATCCCGTACTTTCTCCTGTTCCGCGATCTTCTGAGCAGTAGATTATTGCGATCCACGATATTAGGCCCCTCGTATGGTGTGAAAAAGACACAGTGTTTTTCTTTTGTATATCATAATCATCATCATCATCATCAGCCTATAAGCCCACTACTGAGCAAAGGCCTCTTCTCACACGGAGAAGGTTAGAGCATTAATCACCACACTTGCTCAATGCGGGTTGGCGATTTCAAACTTATAACTAGAAATTATAAGTCCAGGTTTCCTCACGATGTTTACCTTCACCGTTTGTCAGTGGTGTCTAAATAATCATAGAAAGTACATATAACTCGGAAAAAAAAACATAAACTGGCTGCCAACTAACCAATAGCTACGATCACTTACGTTCTCTCTGCGATCTGTTCTTCTCCTCATCAATAGCTTCCACCAGGACTCGTCGCAGCCTGTCCAGTTCCTCACCACTGCCCGTCACTACTGACATGATGTCCGGCTTTGCTTTAGCTTGTGTCTGCAATTGTGAAGAGAACCAAATGAAACAAAAAAAAAAATGCTTAAATTTTTCCAAGTTGTGGTAAAGTTTTGGTTGACCAAGTGTAAAAAATGACGGTTGATTCGTATGGAATGTGGGAGACTAGAAGAGACTAAAGCAGGGTAAACCCTGCTAGATAGAACTAATTTTCTATTTGTAGTACACGTGGAAGAGCTATCTCTTGGCACGAATGGACCGGGTTGTACAGAGATGCCCCAGTAAGTGACTTTAACGGAATCTCCCTTCCTGCATACCAAATCCCCCAAATCACCGTTCGTCAAATCCGGCAACGCACTCTTACTTTCTCTGGTGCTGCAGGAATCTTTGCACGGTGCTGATTAGTACTGCTAGATTAGTATTGCACCCCTTTGCTCGTTTGTCTTTGCTCAAAAAGGGTCACTCATGGAATGGAGACGGTTGACAGATAGTCTAGTAGTGTCGCAGCAGGAATAATAGAAGTATTTGTTAAGACACGTGTTTTGGTTTAGAGGGGAAACTTATCAAATAACTTCTCCCGCCCTGGGTCGAGCGAGAGGGAGTATCTATTACTGACTAAAAACCAATTTGTTCCTACTCCTGCTGCAGGCCGGGGCCGCGGTTCATTATTGAGCTTGACCCAGAGTTATTGAGACTTATTGGGTTAAGGAGTGTGGAAAGCTACGCGCTGTATGCTGGGGTCTGGTTCTGTTAAGGGATCGCTTACGTAAAGACCCTAACTAAAAAATTTAAAAATGTATAGATAAAAAGCGTGATCGGCGCTTACCTCCTCTTTGTACTCAACTCCCATAGTCTCGTGTAGTTTTTTCAGGACCCTCTTCCCTTTGTCTCCCAAAGCTTGAAGTCTGTGCAGCACATCTTCAAATACTTCCTTTGAATTTGGCTCCGTAACCTCCTTGGGGTTCTGCTGAAGATATTTGTTTCAATATTATTTTTAATGTAAATCTTACATCTATATCAACTTTAATAGTTTTGACCATAATGTAAAGAATGTATATGTATGTTTTAATTTCAAATTCGATTTGTAATATTGGGTCAGTTACGCGAAGAGTTTTAGCGTTGTTAACGCACTCGACCTCGTCACTTCGATACATACATATGTATGTAGTTACTAATATACAAATATATCAAGGAAATACTCCTTTCCGATCTTAATATTAATATATATGTGTCTTGAATGCTTTTTGCCTTCGATAATATTGAAGTTGATTTTTCTCAAACCAGTATGATCAAGTTTGGAGCACATTTTTATCATTGTTGTCTCTCTTATCAAATTGTCGCACATTAGGTAATGAGAGAGTAAACGAGTCTTTAAAGATGTTAGCATTACTTTGTATTGCTTTAAATTAGACACTTGCCACCATAATAGCTGTATTGTTTCTTTCAATATTGACAAGAGAAATTAAATATTTTGAAACTTATGTCAAGAACATCCTGTGTTTTGACTAGCTTTTAAACTTATAACATTTTATTTTTTGTTATAATGCTACATTTAATTTGCACAGTTTGTAGGTGGAGAAACAAAAATTAATTAAGAACAAAGAATAAGTGCTGTCTCGGTACTGAATCAATTTTGGCTAATGAACCGAACAATAGTTACAAAGGATATGGCTTCTTTAAAAGCTACATAATTTAGTGTCAACGTTTTCTATTTAGTATTTAACTATAACTACCTCTGTTCTTTTTTTTTGAGGAGTGAATATCATAAAATGACTCCTTCCTCAGTAGGGCGAGAGGGAGGGTCAGACTCTTGCTAACAAAAAACCACCCCCTTTCCTTCTCTTCTTCCTGGCCAGGGCTGCGATACCATCTTTGGAAGTCTTATGCCTTTAAGAAGCGTGCATGGAACGCTACACGCCGTACGATCGGATCAACTCCATAGATTCTTCGGAATCGAATTGAATAGAAATATCGATACGAATATATTTTTCATATAAAGAAAACTTAGGTTTTTTGTTATATCCGAGGCTTTAAATTCTTCAAGACTTACTCAAAAGGAACTATCAAAAATCCACATCGGTGAAGCTGCTGGCAAAAATCCAAAACCACCTAAGTAATGATAATATTGTAACAAATCCATTGCAAATTAAAGAAAATCTCCACTTCAAATTGATTGTTTAATTCAATTCTCACGTGGCGGGTCGTTGTACTAGACAGAATACCACACGAGTAACCATTGTTTTCCATGTGCAACTAGTTAAATGACTTATAGACAAACACTGAAACTATGATTAGAAGATTTCCTATCTAAACAATAGATATTCGTGATGCAATGGAAAGTTTCTTATCTGTGTTGATTCATGTTATCAAGCCAGTAATCCTATGTATTGTCTTGCTAAGGACATTATCAATATTTGGGTTACGTCTAGAATGTTAAATAATCTTAGGCTATTTAAATTCCTCATTCAAAATACAAACTTCTTGTATAATTTGCATAGTTTTTAAGAATACATTAGTTATTTCTCTAGTTTGGACATTTCCATTTCCATGGCAAGATTCAAATAGCGCAATTGTTTAATTGATATTTTGCGCTTTCAATATAACTAGTTGATAAAACGTCCAATAAAAATTGGTCTCCATACCTAGTACATTGTGTCTCCTGGTTGCATTCAAAGCGCATTCTATCTGCATTTAAAATTTTATCTAAATTTAAGGACATTTTATACGAAAACGAAACGACAAACTTCCTAGTGCAACAACTTGCAAGTAACTCGTCTGCTCGTTTACCTCCTGCTTCTATAAAAAACAACATTATGACCTTACCTCAGAGGTATAATCCGAAGCAACAATTTTCAGTTCTCCCTGTGTATTTTCTACTTCTACTGATGTCAGTTCCTCTTCATTGGCATCTCCTACTAAATTATTATTAGTCTTGACATTTTTACTTTTCTCTTCTCTACTATTTAAGACTTTGTTACTTTCTTCTGTCTTTTTGATATCTTCTGTGGTCGTTTTGACTTCTTTACTACCTTTTAATTTTGTTAATAATGATGGGGTAGTGTTAATTGGTTTTTTTATTTCATTGGTTTCGTGTTTGCCTTCAGTAGGCACAGTCTCTGTCGTAGTAAGTTCTAATTTTGTTAATAATTCACTTGCGTTACCATCGATATCTGGAAATAAGACATTTATTAACGGTTAGATTCTTAGTTTTCCAATTATACGCTATTATCGATAAGATTTTATTTTAAGATATTTTTGTAATTATCGTGTAATGATTTACTGTGTTTATTAAAAACTAGCTATTCTCGCGCGGTTTCACTCGTTGCTTGGTACCATTTAATCGTAACGTGATTTTTTATAGCAAGTGCTCTAAGGCTATAAAAAATCGAAGCTAAGTAGCTTACCTTATCACTTAGAAACATTGAAGCTTTTCTTTTCTTTGTATATTAATTTTATTCGGCAGAAAAGTTAATGCTATTTGCATACTGAACCCTTACAAATTTTGTAAATTTTCAACGCATTTAAAAAATATGCATTTATTTATTGGTATGCGATTGTGATCTGTTGAGTTCATGATGACTGTTACAAAATACTATCGCAATTTTAATATCTTGGCGCATGTCGTTCAAAATGTAAATAATCGTCGCTATTTTATCAACAGTTTTTTATTGATATTCCTTGAAAAATATAACTTCATATCAAAATTGGGATTGTAGGTTCTGTAAACATCAGATATTGTATAATTACTTTGTACACTATTTATCCAAGCTATAATATTGGGGTCAGTTGCAGAGGCTTTCTGTTTTCTACCGAATAGATAACGGAAAGTGTTAAAAAAAAAATCCACAATTTGGAATCCCTTATCGCTAGACAATTGGCAAAATGTCAGCACTTCTAGGTGGATACCCTACCCACATGCACGAAGCAATTCGTCTAAGTGGAATTATTTGCCATAGTCTGTGTAACTTAAACTCGAGAGAATAGGTTGCGTTGGTGTGTTCCATCGTAGGTTACATCATCACTTACCATCAGACTATATATAAGCCAAACGTCAGCCCATTACATTTTTACATAAAAAAGTCCGCAAGTCTTCATTTCAGTGACTTACACTAAAATAAAGACTTGCGGACTTAACCAAGGAAGCACTCTCTTTATATTGCAAGCTTACACAGAATCAAGTCTGTCTGTCTGTTTATCTACATGTAGGTTTACTCCATCATCAGCAATTTTGAAGTCTGATGTAACATCATCTTTTTCTTTACTCACAATTTCAATTTTACTTTCTCTATCTTCAGGATTATGAAATATTTTATGGGTCTATCAATATATCAACATATCAAGATAAATCTAAATTTATAAGACTACGGCTATCAATTGTTCGGCCTACTGATATTGCCTTAATATATTCAAGTTAAGATAAAATATTCTTTGACGTCCGAACGAACAGTAATATGGGATTATCGTATTTAACTCTATCAACTTTATCGGATATATCAAAAATTGTCTAACTCATATAATACTGGGATTTAGTGTTTTTATTGGCACACTTTGTAATTGTTATTATATACAGTTTTATTATTTTGATGTTTTTTAGAAAATTGGAAAGTATGTCTAAAGCACTAAAGAAATGTACTTTGAAGCCTATAAATTTCATGAGAGAATCGTAGGAAAAATCTAAGGGTACGGAAAAAATTACTGAAACATTTTGCCATTCTAGCGGTACCTTGAAACGATATCCATTTTCTCTCTTCCTTATCAACGTTGGCATCCCTATGTCGATGCAGGGCCGGCAAAGACATGATATTTGCTGGTGGCCGGTAGTTCTTAGCAATCTGGATCTTCGCAGCCTCTCGTAGAGCGTGGAGTCGTTCTAAGATTTCTCGAAGCTCCTAGAACATTGAGTTTCATCATTACCATATTAAACAAAGGACGTCTAATGCTGCACATAGACTTCCCCTAGTGATTTCCAGATTGGTTGTATGGAAGCAACTTGCTTCACATCTTTATAAATTTGGTGAACCAACTACGATCGCCAAGTTGTCTTCCAAGCTGATGAATCATGGACAGATAGTGTGTAAATTCTTTCAAAAAGTTCTTGTTCTTCTTCAAGTTGCAAAATTTACTAAATCTTACTAGTTAGGACAGAATAATAGACTGCTGAGTTTCCTTGACTCACCTTAGGATCATGATCCGTGACGTCTACTGTGGCCAAATTTTCTGATGATGTTGACGTCGCGTTCTCATCAACGTGATTCGTTGGGTCGTGGAAACTGACCCCAGACTTGTGTCTCTTCATTATTCCTAGTTATAAAAAATACTTTATCAAAGCTAAGCTATTTATTGTTATTATCTGGATTCTGAGCATTAATAGGTATACAAATTAAGTTTATTATCTTTTTCATTCAACTTGATCAATGTCTCTTTATTCATTCTCGTGACTTTTTGGTCTCTTTGCATATTTCTTACTTAAATCGTTTATTTTAAAGAAGAATAAAGGCAGTTTTGAAAAAACTTAATAAGTAAGTATTTAATTAAATATGACAAATTACAAGTCAACCTGTTGGTCAGTCCTCTAGTGAAGCTAGAAGACTGAATTTTTTGCTCGGTACAAAGTGAAGATTATTTTGATAAAAAACGAGCAAGAAGCTCCTTGATTTCTCGTTCTCAATCAGTTTCAAATTTACATTCTTTCTTTCAGTGTTAAATTGGTAATACGATTATCAAGTAAAATTAGTTTTTACGCAAATATTTCATTATTAGTAATTACTTCCTCAACTTAAATAAACTTACCAGGGTTGTTTACTTTGCCATTTTCCACCTTTAGTTCAGAGATCTTTTTATTTAATGCGTCATCAGATAGTAGACCAAGTCTGTTGGCTTCAATCAGCTCGTTGATTTCTTCTGAAGAATCATCGCCTATGTAGGCGCAGTCTTGTAGATGCTTGTAACCTTTGATCATGATGAGGGATGCTCCAGGGTAACTGGAATTAACATAGAGTAAATCGCGTCAAAAGTTTAGTAAGTAATTTGAAGATTTCGTATCTAAATATGTCGGAAGGCCCTTAATATGGGCATACTTAACATTCTCAAAAGAATAAATAATATAGTTCTTATTTTAGCAATACCCATGGCCCATTAAAACTGGATAATTTTTGACAACAAATTTCAACTTCTCAAATTTGAGTGTATTACATTTTGATTTTGACTTGGACTGTGGGATTGCAGTCCAGTACTTAACTAATTTGTATGATTTATAAAAAAAGACGGACTGCACGGTTGACGGAGTAGTCGGAACGACGACGCATGGAACAGCAACATTGTGTGATTGACAAATTGTCGTTTCAGGTCGATTTTATTATCAAAAGTAATATATTGGAGATTGAAAGTTTTAAAATAAAACAAATCAACATAATTTACATTCTTACCAATTAAAGAAAACAAACAAAAAGTATTTATTCGCGTCTGGAACGCATAAAAGACACAAATCGAACAAGATAATAAATATAAAAAAATACATAAAGCATGGTAAAACAATATAAGAAAAGTAGAGGGTAGGAGAAAAATGTGCGTCCAAGCACGCAAAATGGCCCTCGCTCAGCATTATGCAGTAACCCCATACGAGACAGTGTCGCGGTCGCGGTTTTCGCGGATTTTCAGCGATGGCCGACACCAAAGCATGACGCCAATCAGTGCAGAAACTTTAGTCAAGAAAATAAGTTAAATACTAAAATGTGTTTTATATACATATCATTTTATACATCATATATTATTTATCAATTATCCTGAAGACTACGGAAGCATTTTGGTTCACCAACAAAGCAATCAAAAGAATGAAGTATTAAAATCTCACCTAACACAAGCAGAAACCGTGACAGAGGATCCCTTTAAGAGGTAGAACCCCCAGTACTCCTTCATATCATCTTCTAACTCCAGTTCCCTCGTCATGGACACTGGAACCAGCTCATCAGTCAGTTCTGGTGGACCAGGCACCACGAACGCGTTGAACGTCGTGTTTGAACGCACCACTTGTCTCTAAAAGAAAATAAAGATTAGTTTACTTTAATTATAGTTCATAATGAGTGGACTTTCTCGAATGGGGTGATACCATGCTTCGCAGAATACCAGCGTTCAGCTACACATTTGTGGCTTTTTGCCCTATGAGTGAGGCTACCGGTGGCCCAATTTTTCCCCCATCTTCAATCCTGTTCGAATTACCTATTCTTTAATCCCTAATAACCCACAAGAGGCCGAGAATGCACTTGTAGTAACTGCTTTAGTATTTCGAGTGTCTATGGGTGACGCAAATTGCTTAACATCAGGTAATCCGTCGCACGCTGACCTATGTCATAGAACCGATTAACGCATCATTGCGGTTGGGTGCATTAAGGGTAAAGTTATCGAAATTTATGAAAATATTCCTTCCAGCATTTTTCTTTGGAGGGCTAGAGTGAGAGTCAGACTCTTAATGTCTAAAAAACATCCTGTTTCTACCGCGACTGCACATCGGCCCTAGTAAGCCCCATCTGTTGTAGTGGTCTAATGGCGCTTTGAGGAGGGCGCGAGAAACGCAATGCGCCGTATTATTAATACCAACTTTACTGACCGATTTAAAAAAGAAATCTACATGCTTACTTAAACACTTAATCATACCTTGTAAAACACATATTTTTATATTTAAAACTAACTATAAAGATAAACTGAACAAGATAAGGTTATCGGTCGACGCATTAAAAATTTTACCTATTTGATATAACAAATTTGAATCCTATTATCGGAATGTTAAAGATCATATTATTTTGCTATTTGCGTTATCGTGTTTAATAGTAGTTTATTTCTTAATAACATAAGTAGTCGTTGAATTGGATTAAATATTGTAGTTATTATTAGGTTCTTTATGTGCGGCAACGCAGTCGTAACCGTCTTTTTTTTGTGAGGGGAAAAACATCAAATGACTTCTCCCGCCCGCGGCCGGGCGAAAAATGTGCCCGCGGCCGGGCGGGAGAAGTCAGTAAGTGCAATGAGGCACCGCAACCTCGGCCTAGAGTAGGAGAAAGAACGGGGGTTTTTTAGTCAGTAAGAGTCTGACACTCCCTTTCAATTGGGCGGGAGAAGTCATTTGATGATTTTCCTTTCCAAAAAAAAAAACTATGGGAACATACAAACTTCGAGGAATTGTTTGGTACGATTTCTGCCGTATCTTTGATGGGCCCCCGCGGTATTATTTCTATATCCATCATATTGTGCTTAACTTAAGAATTAAGAATTTATTGAAAATATTGACAAACGCGATGCATACATTTCATTAATAAGAGCCCCGTTGTGACTTGAAACTGGTAGAGCTGCTTAGCATTATCTTAAACATCTCAGTGCGTTTATCGTGCAAATTTTATAAACTAAGTGCACCTTATTTCCTCATTGAACAAAACGTGTTCCGTTTACACGTGTCATACCTAGCATTGTATTATTTATATAGCATTTAATCATGTGTAATATACATATAGTTATATATTCATTCTCATAATATTTATTTATTACGATTATCAGTTAAGTGTGCCTTTGTGATGTGACGCAGTAAACAATGTCTCTGACTAAGGCACACATAACAACAAAGTAGTTTTCAATAGTAAAATTTAAAAGATATCTTTTTTTGTGAGGAGAAAATCATCAAATGACTTCTCCCGTCCAGGGTGAAGCAAGAGGTGCGTGTCCGACTCTTACTGACTCGTTCTTTCAAGGTAGCTGAACTGCTTTAAGATACCGTTGTTTTGGCCTGGGGCAGGAAGAAAAACGAGGAGGTTTTTAGTCAGAAAAAGTCTGGATGCTTCCTTTTGCCTCACCTTGGGCGAGAGAAAGTTATTTAATGATTGTAAACCCACCAAAAAGAGGTACCTATCTTTTAGAATTTATCTACTAGACAACTAATCTGCTAGACAGTCATCCCCGGCCTCCATTAAACCAGGCTAGTTCAAGAAGACGACCTATCACAGTAAATTTAAGGAAATGAAAAGCTGTGTAAGCTATGGCGGTTACTCTCTCGTCTGTAGGGACGTGTGTTGCTTACGTAGGCTACATAACGTAAATAATGTACAATGAATATTGATAAGCGAGAATGACTCATTGGAGCATGTTAAACGTAAATAAATTATAATGGTTGGTATTGATTAAAACATGAAAGCAGTTAAGTAAGAAAACACGCCTCCGCACCAATGTGTGGACTCCATTGGACTGATATCTACTTAGGATTCACAGAAAATTTCCTAGTGTGAGTGAGTTACTCGAGACCCAAATCTCAAGTCCATAACTTCCAAACAGCTAGCAATGCATTTGTAATTCGTCTAGAGTGTCCATGGGTGGCGCGCGATTGCTTACCGGTAGCGGATACGTCTGTTATTAGTTTATCGATCTTAGTAATAATAAAACTCATTTCGAACCCTACTGTCTCTAGTGTTAAGTAGGTTTGCCTTCAATATCCGAGGTGGGCATTTTTTGTTGAACTACATGACGTTTAACATATTGAGAGGAAAACTTGAATGACAATTCTAAAGTAACCACTACGTATTTCCTGCTTAAAATGTACCAATTTAATAAACATCGCTTTTGGAAAGGGACAATAATTTTGTATTATAATGACATCTATAATTTTGGCTTGGCTTTTATCAATCTGTATTTTCTTATCTACAATAAGAAAATGCAGATTATGTGAGAATGCATAAAAGCATGTAGTAGTAGTATATATATAATATGGTATACCCATAAACTTTTACATCCGCCTGTCCTGTATGTTTGCTAAAAACCCCAAACCAAAACTGCTGATCTGAATTTGAAGCTACAAAACTTTTTATTTCTATGTATTTATAATTCGAAGGGAGCCCTCAACTAGTTTTAATTGTCTCTTTCCAAAAGTCGATATAGAATATTTATCGCTAGGAACTGTATTAAACTACGCTGAAATAACATGAAGTGAACCACAAGTTCAGATCGTGGTCATTAAGTGATTACATACAGTGATTGATGATAGAGTGTCTGATAATGACGTACAATGGTACACACCTACCTGGCACCAAGTGGGCGATATCTTACTGTCTATCAGACGCATATCTGTCATACTCATCGGGTACATCTGGCCGGAGAACACGCGATATCTAAAACAAAAGGGTTATTACATAAAACATTGAAAGTTAGAGTTTTTGCCCAAAATTTTCGACTAAGTGTTGGAGTGGACCAAGGCTACTACACAACCAACAGGCTTAAAGAAAATAGGTCTATAATAAATATTTTCATCAAAACACATAGCTTAAAATGGCCACGAAGACCCTAAACAGTAAAAACATTACATTTCTCCACACAGTTTTTAAACAAAAAAACATTCGAAAGACGAACGTTATTTTCAAATAATTTCAAACGTATTTGAAAGTATCGAACGCTTGACCCAAATCAGAGAAAAGTTCACCGATTCAAGACACCTAAGAATATTTACTAAATATTTTAAAGTTTCTATAAAAAAAAAATTATGTAGTAGCACTACTAATAACACAAATTATAACAATTAGTAATTTATGTTGAGTGTTGAGAACTTAAGACGACAGAGACTCTTATCTACTAGATGTATGTCAACATTGTAGGAATTGTACACAGCTTTATAATTACATTTATCTTTGTTACAAATTATTACACAGATATAGATATTTATAGTAGGTATCATAATACTTAATTAATAATATAATCACAGCTGAGTGATTAAAGAAATGTTGACAGAGGAAAGTCATTAAGTTACATCTCTCGCGCTGACTAGAGTGAGAGCGAATGTCAGACTCTTACTATCGGAAACCCATCGCCTTCTTTCTCTTTTTCGTTTATTGTGCTGGTCTCGCTAACCTTGCCGCAATTATGTTATTTAATTGAGAGTAAATTCATTTTATTTAAAACGTTATTGGAAATTGTAAAATGACCCTTTGATTATGACGGGCGTGATCAAAAATTTAACACAAGATACGCCGCATCGTAAGCGCAGGGTAGCTCACCGTCCAACAAAAGCAGACCCAAGCGAATTGTGCCTTTATTCCGTGCGCGCCTCAAAGCGCCATTAGAACACCACAGATGGGGCCTAATGGGGTTGATCTAGCCATGGTTGTGGTGTACCATGGCTCTAATCCGAGGCATGCAACGAACAGATTCATTTTAAGGCAGTAAGACTCTGACAATCCGTCTCGCGCCCGCATCAAGAGCGGGAGAAGTTATTGGATGATATTCCCCCTTCAAAAAAGGGTTCTTAATGTTCATCCCCTACTGAATAAAAGATTCTATGGCATTAAAAAGTTTGTTGACTGCACACTATCTATCTTGATCTTCAACGTGATTAATTACACTACGAAACGACGAATGATATGACAATCAAATCCTGCGCCCTGTAGAACTATATTATCCAAACTATGATATTATAAATGCGAAAGTAACTCTGTCTGTCTGTCTTTTCTTAACGCCTAAACTACTGAATCGATTTCTGTGAAGTTTGGTACAGTCTGTATATGTATACAGAAAGGACGTATGATAGTTTTGATGCAAAAAATCTTTAGGAAGTCACTTTTCCACGCGAACGAAGTCGCGGACAAAAGCTTGTTATATCTATATAATGAGAGCTGTTGATGTGCAAACTTCTTAACAATAGAACTTCAGACGTTAAGGTTATCGACCAGCACTTAGTTTCAAGTGTCAGACAGACAGACAGACAAACACATAAGCCTGTGTCAAGACTGTTCTATTGAGTACTGATATTATTGTGTATTGTAATTCTGTCGAGAGATATACTTATATGTACATACATATACAATTATGTAGTTTAGTGAGTTTTGCATAATATTATTTGTGTACTTACAGATTAAGATTTTGTTTGGAGAAACACAGTTATAAAGAAGAAACTTTTGCTATCGATACATTACCTGTACTACTCACTGAAAAAACATTATTATTTTCCTTTTTTTCATGTCATAATAATATTTAAATTTGGAACAAGCTACTTCCACTGGTTTGTGTCCCGATACAACTCCAACAACAGCTTCTATTGGTCGTCGTAATTTTGTCTCCTTAACTTCAGCTTAATAAAAATGTACATACATATTATAAAAGGCTTATCAATATTCCGCCCTTTAACTTAAAACCACAACTTATTACTCATGTAAATATTTCGAGAATGCTCGACTAATTTCAAACCATACCGGGACCGATAAATTGAAAACTTCGAACTCTTCTTACCTTAAATACAGTGGTACCATGAGGAAAACGGTCGGCATCCCGAAGAGAAGCGCCAGTAGCCGACACAGACGCAGTGGCGCTGTGTAGCATGTTCGAGGAGCCAGGTAGCAGTTCCTGGTCCCATGGTGGGGGCGTGGGAGGGGGAGACCGGCTGTGGAATATCAGGTCATTAATGATCATCATCAGAATCATCAGCTGTAATGACACTCAAAAATCACTCAAAGTAGCCACCAGAAACGTGTTGTATTGTATGGTGCGATTCGATCCCGTTCTCAGCAGTGAAGGAAGGCCGAAGAATTATTATCATAACATTTTTTAATATGGCTTATCGGATGATTAAATATCTTAGATATGTGAGGATACAGGAAAGTACTTATTATTGGTAGAAAGTTTAGTTCTTTTTCATGACTGTATTAACCCCTTTTTTATGTAATAGTTCGGCAAACGAGCAGACGGATTAACTGATTCAAAGCAATCAGCGCCGCCCATGGACACCCGCAACAGAGGAATTATGAGTGCGTTGCCAAACCTTAGGGAGATTTAGAGATAGGAGAGGGGTTAGGGATTGGGATTGGATTGGGCCGCCGGTAACCTCAGTCACAAGGCGAAACACAACGCTGTGGTTGTTTCACGCCGGTTTTCTTTTATAGCTGGTAGAAGCTATAATAAGCCATAGTAATATTAAAGCAGTGGCTTCAAGAACAATATTAAATTACATATATTATATTTTATGTTTTATGTTGAATTTAGGTATACATATATATGCATTTTTAATTCTGTACTTAAATTTATTAATACTAGCTTCACACGGATAGAAAATCTTAACGTACTATTTGACAGTAGTCCGCGCTAAGCTGAACACCTTGCCTGGTTGGAGGATCCAGCTCTTCCGATAATAAGGAACTCTACTCTTTATTATCTAAACCTATTTAAGCATATTGCCACTCATACTTACATTCCAATGGTACTAATTCTTGCGGATCCATGATTGCATTACATTACTGTTTGACACTCCTCTACTGAACCTGTGGACAAAGATACGTAATTATTATTATTTTAAATATATTTCAATCTAGCTTCCGCCCGTAGCTTCGCCCGCGTGGTATGTTGATAAAAAATAGCCTATGTCCTATTCCGGAGTGTATCCTATGCGTGTGTCAAATTTCATCAAGAGCCGTTTTGGACTGATTGAATAACAAACATCCAAACATCGTGACTTTTGCATTTATAATATTTAAGAGTAAGATTTTTAAATATATGATATATGATTTATAACTTACTAGCTACTCTCACGCGGTTTCACCTACTGCTTGGCTCCATTTGATCGTAGCGTGATGTTTTATAGCCTATAGCACTCAGGAACATTATAGGTATCTATCAGAATTTTGGCAATCCGACCAGCGGTTCCAAAGATTACCCCCTACATACAAAATTACAAATTTACAAATTTTAGTTAGTTAATAGTAAGAGATATGTTGAAAATAACGACTTATTCAAGTGAATTAACAGAGAAAAGCTCTACTAGTTTCGAAGCACAACGGGACTCTTATTCATGAACAACGTACGCGTCAGTGTCATTCGTTCATGTCGAGAGCTATTCTCAGTTAATTCACGCGGTTAAGCTATTATTTTCAATGAATTTAGTATGTTTCACGATAGTTACTATTCAAAAATAGTTAGAGATACTAATAAAATTGATATACGATAATTATGTGTGTCAAGGATTTTGATATACTAAATACTCAAGTGTTTTAGTATAAGTACCCTGATTAACCTATAGAACAACTGTTAGTTCGAGCAAGGCCAAGATAATAACCCTGGATAAAATACAATTGAGGCGTAAGTTTTTAAGAGTTCCGTTCCCATAAGGTAAAAACGGGATTTTTTTTTATAATTTATAGAATCAGGCGTTACTTTGCGGAAATCCATGACATTAAATGTTAGGAAAAATATTTAGTTTTTATTCCTCAAATTCCAGGTTTGTTGCAGGATGCAATCCCACTCCTATGCAATCATGCATATGCACATGCAGCAAAGGTTCCACCCTCCCACCGACGAGCGCTAGTCGAGTCAACATCTCCTGAGGATTCCCTGTGGAGGGGCGAAACACGTGTCGAGTATAGGTTTGATTGCGTGCCATGTTACCGTTTTTTGCACGTGTGCATATGCATGTTACCTTTGCTGCATGTGCATATGCATGATTGCATAGGAGTAGGATTGCATCCTGCAACAAGCCTGGAATTTTTTTGCGGAATAAAAACTAAATATTTTTCCTAACATTTAATAAAAACGAGAAGCCTATTATCAAAACTCAGCTGTCCATCCTTCTGTCTCTCTATCTGTCTGTCTGACTTTTAGCTTGACAGTTAAAATTTGGATATACGATGGTATTTCTGTTACAAAATAAATTAAATATTTAATAAGAAATTCCCATGTAATAAAGATTACTTTAATAATTTTTTTGTTCTAGTGGAAAATCTCGCCACGGATCCCTTTAAACGCGAGTCTGACTCTTGTTATTTTAGTGCTGGTCTCATTATAGCCATGATAGATTTTCGCTTCTTTATCTCGTCGATAAATGCGCCATTATTCGGGATCAAAGCAACAAGGAAAATGTTAAATCCACCACAACACAGTTCGTGATTTCAATCAGTTTTAATGATAGCGCATTAATGATGCCCATCTTGGTCAACTGGGGTTGCGTATGCAAGCTCAATAATGTACCGCAACCTTTGGGGTCGGAATTGGAGAAGGAACGGGGCCAGTTAGGTCTGACACTGCACCTAGCTTTCTTATTAAAGAAACCAAAAATATCTTTGTCTTGTACGGTCAGCTGCAGAGAAATGGACCCCCATAAAGGACAAATATGTATGCAGCTATCTGCATAGGGGGATCCTTTTCTCTGCAGCTGAGTGTACACAAAGTAATCACATAAAGGAAGTTGCAACTATTTTCTCTTCTTGCTATACTCAAAAAAAAAAAATTGTTAATTTAAATAGTTCTTTACGAACGATTTATGATTTAACCTGGTAAATACCAATGTGATGTTTTCTAGGTTGCTTGGTATTTATAAACATTATTTAGACTTAGGTATAGGGTGAAGGCAAACAGCATGAGGAAAACTGTGATTTCTAATGATTAGTTTGTAAAAGAGAATATGCTATAGAAGTCAACCCGGCCCAAGCGTTCTGAAGAATGACTCTACCATACTTTCTGAGACAAATCATGGTAAACAAACAAATAAACACACAGCACATTCAAATATATTAATAAAAGTGACAATTTTAATAATAGATTCGGAGTACCTCTGCCTCATTCATAAACATAACATTTATCTTAAAGCTATTTTGACACAAACCGTTCGGTTAGACCCGACCTTGATCATTGCGTAATAATATTTGTTTTGTTCGCTAGCCGATCTTCTGTACATGTGTGTGCTATTATCTCGCGAATAGCTGTGTAAATTGTGATAATGACTTTCGATTTCAAATGGTAAGCGGATATTTTGGTTTTTCTAGGTTCTTTTGGGGCTGCAAGTGCGTTGCAGGCATTTATGGGGGCAAGGAGTTTTGGGGATTTAAGGATCATTGTGGAACAGGACGTTGTGATTGATTACCCCCCTTTTTTTGAAAACAGGCGGTAAGCGGTATCAACCCATTCGTGCATGCTTATATCTCTTTACGTTTAAGAATATTTAATTCTTAAGAGAATATTATTATAGTAAGTATACATAAATAATAATTTATTCTTATATGTATATGTTATCAAACAAAATAGATTGATTCCGTTTTTCAATTGTGTGGAATTGTGTGTCTGACATTTTTTGTTTTTTTTAGAAAATCATTAAATTATGACTTCGCTTGCCGTGGATAGGACGAGAGGAATTCTAAGACTCTTGCTAACCAAAAATAGCTCCAGACTTGAGCAGTGTCAAGCTGCGATTCGGGCCCGGAGTAGGAGTAAGAACGGAATGGTTTTTAGTCAGTTAGAGTCTGACATTCCTTCTCGCAGTCAGTTAGAGTTTGACTTCCTTTTAAAAAGTCTACACCTTCATAGCTTCAAAGACTTGATGATATGTTAAATGTATGTACTTTAAATTAAACATGTCAGTGGTCATTCAATATTGATATTTTTGTTGATAATCGTCATATATACTTATGTTAATCGATAAGATATGAATTTATTTTGAAGGCCTATTTAAAATGAAATTAAAAGAGAAGAATACCATATTTTAAAGTCATGGCAACGACGAACTAGTCTGTCGAATGGAAGCAATATAGTTCTATGGCGGGTTTAAAAAAACATGTGTTGTTTTAAACTAATTAGAATTTGATACACATGGTGAAAATGTGATAATTTCGACCACAATTAATTCTCTTAAAAATAGACTGCACAGAATCACCAAAACGGTTAATACGAATGCATCAGATTTTTAAGCTGATATTTTAAAGCGGTAAAATTTGTAGTTTTGTATGTAGGGGGTAATCTTTGAAACTGCTGGTCGGATCCCCAAAATTCTTTCACTGATAAATAGCTACAATCTTCCTGAGTGTTATAGGCTATAAAACATGACGCTTCGATCAAATGGAGCCGAGCAGCAGATTAGCTAGTTGCAAATAAATGACTAGATAATTAATTAACCTAATCAGACATAGCGTTTCACTTTGACAATACCATTAGCTTATATCTTAGTACAATGAACGATTACTGAAATAGCACATGTATAAAGAAGTTATATAGTACATTAGTAAAAGTTTTTTTTTTAATAGGTCGGCAAACGAGCAGACGGATTACCTGATGGTAAGCAATCAGCGCCGCCCATGGACACTCGCAACGGAGGAGTTACGAGTGCGTTGCCGACCTTTTAGGGATTAGGGATTTGGAGATTTAGAGATTTAGGAGGGACTGGGGGAGGGGAAGGATTGGGCCTCCGGTAACCTCACTCACACGGCGAAACACAACGCTGTGGTTATTTCACGCCGGTTTTCTGTGAGGCCGTGGTATCACTCCGGTCGAGCCGACCCATTCGAAGTGTTTGAGAAGTTGAAAAGTACTTTCTAGGTTATCAGCCATCACGAGACCAGCATGGTACGGTGTTTGTCTGTCGCGACTCTGAAGTCGAAGAAATTATTCTACAGACTTCATAACATTAATTTGTCACGTGTTTCATAGAACTTTCAAGTTAAAAATAGTGGAAAATACTGTACTGATTTTCATGAAATTTGGTACTAATGCGAATTTAATAGTTTCTTTGTACACTTTGGAACGAGCAAATGAGCAAATAGTATAGTAGCTCTATAGCTTTACTGGGGTGTGATTCTGTAAGACTTCATTCTAAACTTCGAATCTGAATCCGCGGTGAGTTTCTTGATTGGCATTCTAAAACTCGATTCCTAACTCGAATCTATGCTAGCGCTACACTTGCGAGTGTGTTTACGAGTTGAACTAAATTGACCGCAACATTTTGACAGATAAAGTATGAGATAACGTTGAAAATCGTATTCTATAATGTAATTGCCCCGTCACTTCGACGCTCACTTCGAACTAGAACAAGATTCAAAATGTCAAATTAAAAGTATCTATTTTACGAGTGAAAATGGAAGAAATAATAGTTAGATAGTGTTCAAATTAAGTTTTGAAAGTAACAATGTGAATAAGTGCTTACCTATTAAAACGATAACGATGGCAAGAATGTTTTTGGTAAAATCTTTGTTAGAAGAAGCTCATGCTTTAGATAAACAAGAAATGCGTCGACAATCTAGCACCATTCGAAGTTTGTCTTTATTAACCTGAGATGACGACTATGTGAGCGTGTATGTGCAATGGAGCTGATTGACCAACTGGAGGATGAGGCCTTTGATAAAACCCACAAAACGGCGAGGCAAAGGACTTTGGTATGGTATAGTTCATAACATGTATTACCTGGTTAGTTATGTCCCTACTTCAGAATATATAAGTCTAATTACTAGGTTTTATTTATATGTGATTGGTCGGAAACGGATTACCTGATAGAAAGGATTCAGCG